AAATCACCCCACATACACACAACGCTGACCACGAGGACTGAGTTATGCAGTCAGTCGGTTGCCTTACATGTCGCGAGTCTAGACGGTGAGGAAGTAATCTTTACAGGCTGCACCCACTTTATATAACGAACTCATTCACATGCAAATAGACTCCAAGGCTTGACTGAGCACAACTTAAAAATGTCGCAAACAGGCTTTCCAATCACATACTAAACCTGGATTTTCTAACGCCTCCAGATGAAGTACTTGGTATAGCATCCCAGTCTCTCATCCGCGTAATACCCGGCAGTCTAAAACTTCCCCATACTTCGGCAGGGACAACTGTGCGCACATGGTGTTAAAACGGAATAGTGGACAGGATTTTTGATACATATTATATAACCGATTTTGCTAACTTACATTGTTGTAAGCACACCTAGGAAACCACCTTATCACAGCGTGATGGTCAGACTCGACAAAAGTTGTCTGAATGGCACACAAAACTGTACCTGACACTTACAGAGGTTGGCACACACGACCGTTCGCCTCCCTTGATGTTACCGAAGTAAAATTATTTTTTATTCTTGCAGACCTTTCTTAGGTTGTCACGTTAGCTTGCCCAAATGAGACGGAAGCTGACCTTTTTTGCCCAAGTGTTGTCTAAGGGCGCTTGTGTGGATGCCTGACCCCCAAACGGTCCGCACAGCAGTTGCGATAGACCAACAGGGGGCCACATGGGACTCTGGCAGGCGTAATCGGAATGCCCACCATAAAAAATGTCAACATTCAGGCTGTGGTGGCAGACCTACTTGCCGGCTCGCGGCGCGCACATTGGGATCCCTGCCGCCCCCCACTTTTGCTGTTGGTTAATATCCCGGTCCTTGCTGTGTGGACCAGGGGGTGTGCAGTGGAGCGCCAAGGTACGCGCTCGATCGTTTCATCAGCCTTCCTTACCTATCTCCGTTTATGAGGTTAGTAAGCCGTAGTTCGTTAGTTCGCGAGAACGACATAACCTACGTCAAGAAGACGCAAATAGGAAGCAAGCGTGAAACCCTTGAGTAGGCCACTGAATGATTACCAAACGTACATCTTTTTAGATACACGCACAATAATTTCTTTTCCTAAACTGATAATTTTGGTGACGTCAGTTCCTACAAGTTCCCTCAGTACAAGCTCCTGGGTTGAAGATTTTACCTCGGACATTCATAGAATGTTTATTAGGTATGTTTGGCCCCACAAACGGATCACGTGATAGATGCGCTGGACCAAGACGGGGTATATCGGATCGTGGTAGGCGTTATCGAATTTTCGCAGCATAATAAATGTTAACAATTCGGAATGCAGTAGCAGACCCAATTGCCGGCAGACGTCGTGCTGCCTAGGATCCCTGCCGTCCCCCATGGTTGCCATTGGTTACAAACCTCGTCATTTGCTGTGTGGACCAGGGGTGTGGAGTGGAGTGCCAAGGTGCAGGCTCAATTGTGCCATCCTCCTGCGTCCCCCCGCCTCCGGTTTTCTTGAATCGGTCTTGACACAAGGTCTAGATAGTGGAGGGTAAGAGTGTTCGGTAGATGCTGTACAAATCTACTATCACTATAAAATAATTTACACACAAGTCACCGTCCCTGCTTAGCCTTGCCGTGTAGCACACGGTGGAAATCGTCGTCAAGGACGATAAGCATTACTACGCGTACCCAATCATCAAACGAAAATATCCGGTTTTATTAGCGCAATATCCGACAGATGCGCACTTGACTCTTCATTCGTTCCCGAAGGAAAGGCAACGTTGGCTGAATGAGGTGAATGGGACCAGCAGAATATACCACAAAATGGTTATTTTCCTTGTACTTGTCCAGTGGGTAGACATTGACCAGAAAAGTAACTCTGTACAGTAGTGCCTATTAACTACAATGAAGGCGATAATAACCCACCTACAGAATGCAATGCTGTGCGTGCCTAAGTATTTCCTCCAAACGCTCTATTTGATGAAACCCACAATTCTGACCCCCGTTGGGCTGTTGTTGTAGGTGAAAAATCCTGATTTAGTGTTTCTTGTGGACCAGGGGGTGTGATGGCACGCCTAGGTGCGGGTCCGGCCGTGCCAGCCACCTGTGTCCTCCTCCGCCTCCGGTCTTCTTGACTTTGTTTTGACGGCTGGTCCAGGTGGGGAATGGGAAAGAGAGAGCGCGGTAGATGCTACGCAAGTCGACACTCACTATAAACTAATTAACGCTCAAGTCATCGGACCATGTGCTCCACCTTGCTGTGGAGCACATGGTAGACATCGTGGGGCACGACGATCGAACTGTCGTTTGGATGACTTTTGCCTACTGCCTCCAAGTTTTTGGCCTTGCAGACCCGCCCTTGTCCGCTTCTCAGTCAGGTGGCTTCCACTTGAGTTCCCCACCAAAAAGAATCCTACTCTACAACATGTACTAAAGTACTCGAAAAAAGATAAAAACCGCCTGCCATGAGAGTTTTATTTGTTCCATGTTATTAGCTATACAAAATTTTCCGTTGATAAAGTGAAAAATTTTCATAATGCAATTTTACGCCATGGTGAGGTCTTGTCCTGCCTGGTCAGGCCATCCGTCATTGAGGAGTCGATCTGAAAGGACACCTTAGAGTAGGGCGTCACTGGATGCAGAAAAGTAGAAAAAATGTGAAGAAGAAAGTATTTTATACACTCTTCCATCTTTCTATGTCGTTTGCAAGTGTCGGTATTGAAAAATGACTAGGTCGTCAAAAGAAGAAGGAAGAAGGCAGGATGACTGAACAGTAATTCTGAAGTTACTAAAAAATGCACAAGCCCAAGTGAATGCCTTTAAAACATTCCCTTCTGTCTTTCATTGTTACTTTCTTAGGGGGCTTCGTAGTTCTTTTTCAATCACAGAAGAATCATTTTGTCAGAGACCAATCAAATGGTCTTTTTCTACAAATGTCCCACGCGGGAGTAAGAGGTAAATAGTCACTGAGACCCAACCCCTCAACTATGGGCTTATAACCATTTATTTATCTATGACCTATTATATTCATCCCTTACAGAAGTCTTTATAATAATTTTTATGAGGAAAGCGGAGATCAAAGGCATACTGTCTTTGGATAGAAACTCTGCCTAATCGTCCCGGCGTGCTGCCTAACACTGATGAACTCAGCGCCAAACATACGAACGCCTCCATAGAGATATGGACAGTACTAGACAAAATAGAGACTTTTTCACATTAAACAACGAAGCTTTCTCATCATGAAAAAAGTTGTTTCTTTGATTACTGGACCTAGGGCGGCTTATATTCCACTTAAACCATAATCGAATTTCGGGTAAATTGAATGATTTTCTCCTAATGTTCGCGACATGTCTATTTGCATCGTCTTCAGATACGGGGCAAATTATTAGTTCTCCACTGCACCGGACGCCCTACTGTACCAAAATATCAGGTAACGGCTGGAAAAATTTTATCGGATTTGCTCACATGGGCTTCATTATCTACAGTCGATTTGATACATCCTCAACCTTACGATTAATCTCCCCAGACGACAAAGCCACCCGGATTTTCTTAGGGGAACTCTAAGTAAAGTTTGGAGACTGTCTCTGTTTAGAAAACTATTGAGCCGGATCTTATTCGTTGCCGTAATTTCGGTAGACAACCCCCAGCCTAACCCTAACCCCCCACCCTAATCTTGAACTCTAACCCCTGACCCCTAATCACAACCCCTAACTCTAATCCCTAACTCCTAATCCTAACCCCCAACAGGTGCGACTACGAGATAGGATCTTGCCAACTATTTTGTTTAAAGGAAGTAATTAAAAAACCGTCAACGGTAGGGTGAAGGACCTCACTTAACTGTCGATTGGCTGTGGATAGTATAATACGAGAATGGTGGAAATGTGGATTTTACGGGTGGTGCAGCACGCCAGACAGTAGGCTGGCGAAATACAAGAAAATACAGGAATTGTGAGGAGTTCTGCCGAAAGTCTTATCGCACACATTCGCGCGGCAACGGAAATGAGCGCGTTAAGTAAACGAAACTTCAAAATAACAGAGTCTGCGAAATGCTTTAAGGTTGTGGGAAGTAATTGTTGTTGGCAGGGTAATATCTGCAATGCCCTGCAAATGAAGGTCAAGATAAAACCCCATATGACACGGTCCACAGGTTGCCGACGGTTAAGTGGGGTCCTTCACCCCATCGTTGCCAAATAACCCGCCTTGCGTCTGCCCGTAGAAAAGACCTTAAGTCTGTCCAAATTCAGTCGCTTAAGGAATACTTTTTCGCTTTAATTATTGAGTCATAGATTGGTGGAACGCAGACAGCCTCCGTATTAAAACGGAATTGTGCTTCAAAAATACAAGACCTGTGTTGGCAGGTCTAGCGCATCTATTCAAGAAATTTTAGGTCTTTTGCCACGGCTGCGTAGCTCGTTTTTACAGGGCTTCGGAGTCACTTGGTGCAGGTCGTCTGGTTTTGTTATCTCCGTGTACGCAGAGATGAAAACTCGTTTTCGAATATAACAGATGGTGTTATTTCTTTCCTGTTTAATATCCGAATAAACGAGATTCTCAGGAACAGGCAAAAAAGAAAGTGTGCTAGATTGTGATTGTTGTTAGTTGTCACAGTTAGGTGCCTACTCGTTAAATAACTATCCATCCAGGACTTAAATTGAGCCGCGTTTTCGTTAATTACAAAACCTTTATCATGTTGTGTATGACATGCAAAGCAGGCGGATTAAAAGTTTGTTTCGCCATAAATTGTGACTCGATCCCGGCAAGCTCTGCAGGAGAATTTCTGATTTTGAGAATAAGGCTCTTTTTCCAAACTTACATTTCAACTCACATGCGGGCATGAAAAGGCTAGAAAATTTATGATCAGACATAATCTTGGCCACTGGAGAAGTAGGCGCCATGTAGGCAGCCTACCTGCTTGTCTATCATTCGTCAGTTCGCTCCGGAGTTTCTGGCTCTGTGTACGCAGACACAGACATTATCAGTAAAACAAAAAGTAAAAAATCTTACCAGTCTTCAGAGTTAAGCGCTGCGGTCTGCATTTTTAATTTTCAGATAAGCAGATTGAAGAAGTTTTCTTGCATTCTCGCATTCAGCATCAGAGCAAAGGACAAATTTGTACAGGAAGGCAGCGATGAAGCTTCCCACAAAAGGAACCAAAAGTGGCACCTAAAAAAGGACCAGTAATTTAACTTGATTTTGTGCGTCTTTTAACCGTTCCAGGAAGCAAGGCGGTCAAGAAAAAGAGTTAACTGTGCTTGGGACAAGATCAGCCAGACAGGGGACGGCCACATGCGATTAAACCACGCATTTCAGTCTGTCTCTGCAAAAATTTAACAAAACTCAATTTCGGAAAAGTTCCCTGAAACTTCTCCAATTTACACTATTTGGGTGAAACTAAAAAGAATAGCCCACGCCTATGAAATTGTCTAAAATCGGATCAAATTACTCATCTGTGTTCACAGCCCCTACGGTGAATGTCCTATCTCAAGAAGTTTTAACAGAAATTCTACGGTGCGTTTTAGATTAGAAGTAGTTACTTAAGTGTGGTTGTAGTATAAAATCTAGCAACATAATCTCGAAATATTTTAGTCACGCCAGGATACCAGCTTTTACATGCGCTTTCCTGAGGTTGTTTGCAAAAACTGCATTCAGTAAAACGTGACTACCTAAGGGGTTTGCCGTTCCCAATTGACTTCCCGTGCGCTTATACATTCAAACATATTTTATGGAAAACGTACAAAACATCCTTTCTTGAATTAATTCGGTTATAACTTATATCTTCTTCAAACGCTGTACTCGAAGAAAGGTTAAGAAATATGATGTCTATTTACATATCACAGTATCTGTACTTTTATTAATGTTCCTTGTAAAGCATGCAACGTAGTTTATGTCCATTGGCAAAATTTTCAAGTCCAATATTAAATGTTGTTAATGGCTTAAAGGGATATATGATTTTCCTTAGACGGAGGTACACAACTTGACGTTTAAAAACCCTAGATGCAGGCTCAACGACAGGTCTCGTTAACAATTATTCGACAATGGCCCAAACCCGAGAAAATATCTAAAAATAGATCAAAATATGCACGAACATTTGTTAACACTTAGATTGCAATCAACATAGTTGGCAATTTATTCTATATTTTTTTATACCGATTATGTAATAATTTTTACGCATTCCTGGAAAGACATTCGTATTACGGTCGGTCTCTGGTTGAGGCGAGATTACATCTTTGTTGATGCGTTCGGATCAAAAAAGTTTCAAAGTTACCATTTCTAAGTATGGGTGCCTGATGAACTAGCCGGGGATAGTTTCGTCTTGAAAACGTCTTCGGCACACCGACGGTATTAACATTCCTATGTTATTTGTCTGACCACAGTCTAGATTGCACAATTTTACCATTTGTTTGCAATTATCATTTCCTCGTCCACATTATGTTTCACTAAATCCAGATGCATGGTAATTTTGATTGTTAATAATCTTATCATTAACAAACTGGTATGGACTGTCGAAAACAAACAGCATTTCCCCAGGGCTGTTGTTGATAATCGTTTGCGTTGAACAAGAATCATGTTTTGTCCGTGAGAATCGGCCGACTAATTTTCTTACAGTAATTTAAAAGGATTAAAATTTTAACTACTTTCCGCGAAGTTATCAGAGTTGGTTTAACTACGGTTGCTTGAGGGTAGCATGTGGGGGAAGGAGTTCCTCGATCTCGACCGACCGAAAGGCGGAGCAAGAAAGTTTTTTTCTGGCGGGCAGTCACTTTGCGACGAGCAATCGTCAATAACTAAAACATATAACCGACAACTGGGTATGCCTCACTTTTTTCCTAATCGTATACTGTTAATGCTTTCCCTTTCGACGCACTTATTTTCTCTTTCGACCAGATGGCGCGTGTTTTAACAAATAAACTATAAAGGTAGCTTTAAGGGACATTTGTGTGGGGATTTATGTGCGCTTTTCCGTACCCAAAACCCTTGTTTATGAAAGCATTGTCCCTAAAAAAGACCCCATAAGCTTGAAAACATTGGCGATCAATCTTAATTCGAATGACCTAATAAATCCTCCACAAACCAGTTTTGACTGTTCACGGCTAAGTGGTGCGTCCGAAGGATCAGATCTCCAAAGGGGGGAAGTCATCCGTCGTCTGCTGACTACAATGGAGAAAGCGTCGGACAACTACAGACGAGGCGTCCCAAGCATCAGTCAACTGTCTGAATTTCGAATCAGAATTCATATTTGGCGACGTATGCCTCCCTGGGCTAACATGATTTTGACTTCGGCGAGGTCGAGTTAGTGGGCGGAATCAACAACCACCCAACCGGAAGACCGGACATTCGGACGTGCAACTCATCGACAGATATGTTCAGTTACCGATTGTGTCACGCCATTCCACAGCGTATAACAGGGCTGTTAACCCCATCGTCAACGCGTCGTTCCCCCTCGACCTTGAAGTCTTTCCATGCAAACTGCGGGATGCAAGGAACACATGTGGGTGTACTGTGGACTTACAGTGCAGGTCAGATGCGGTGTGTGGCCTATCGCAAGAAAGGTGCCGAAATTCACGAAATTACCCCTAAGGGTACCAAATAAAACGATTTATTTATTTGTATATTACTATTCACGCACATACCCCCAAAACGAATGGATCAAGGCTTTGCAAAAACAGCGAACTGAAGACACAAAGGAGGTCTTTAAATTACTATAACGCTCTTTAGAAATACCATTTTTAAAGAAAATCCTGGAAACGTCAAAAATCGTGGTAAATGTGTAAACTTAAGCTTTCGATGTACAGAAAGCCTGTCCATGCAAAATACCGAGTAAATAGATGAGCACAAGTAGAAAAACATTTGAAATAGTCCTTTACTGAAATTCGCATTTATATATCCTTCAATAAGCGTAATGTCTAGTATAGAGGTTTACCAGCACCCTACAGTTTGACTAAAGATTTCGACGTGCCTTCATGGGAATCGGCTGCATTTTTTCCATGATGAAAAAAGCAATTTTCAAGTGTATCCTGTTCCGTTTGGTAAAACCCTCAAGTTTAACTTACTCTCATCTCATAGAAAAACACGCTCAGATGAGCAAACTTAGTTTAAAATAGCCATTGGCGTAGGAAACCGTCAGAATACAAGGCAACGTAGAATCCCGCTCGAATTTTTAAACATTTAGATCGATAAAATTATTTATAAACACATAGGAAACACAAAAAGGACATTTTTGGAAGTAGGAAAGGCAAATAAATAAAACGGACAGCATTTTGGTTGTCCACAATTCATCATTTCACTCTGCATCATCAGGTTTCACAAGTTAGCCCACATACTGCATGTTGGTATGCGCCTACACGCCGGAATACGCCCAAAATTAGTCAGCTTCTGATCGTGGCTAGCAGCATCTGAGATTAGCCTTCCTTTTATGAATTAATCAGATTTTTTCCTTACAGACATTCCATTCTAAACTATTGTTGCTTATTTTTCAGGTGAGAGTATTTAGTTGTGCCACCAGAGAAGCATTTGTAACCGATTTTATGTGGGCAGTGCCTCTCAGTCGATGACAAACCGGTTTCCCGACCTTTGAAGGGTGATGGCCCCGGCTAAATGCAGGGCTGCGTGTCACTTTTGTGGCCTTCAAGGATTGTGTAAGTCTGCTACGTTATAATTCAGCAAACCATGTCCTTTGCAAACTGGTATGCGTTAGCAGTTCTCTAACCACTGGTTGCCTGCCGGTAGATGCGCTTGCGCTCCCGCTGGGTATACCAGTGGTGGCATGGCTGCCCAGTGACTTGTGTCGGCATCTCCTCTTTCTGACCCATATTTGTTCGTGACTAAAATCTTGGTCAAATATTTGTTGTGGACCAGGGAGTGAGCTGGTACGCCAAGGCGCGGGTCTGGCCGCGCCAGCCATCTGCGTCCTCTCCCGCCCCCGGTCTTCGTGACTTTGTGCCGACACCGGGTCCAACTGGGGGAGGAAGAGGGAGTGCGGTAGACCCTGTGCAAGTCCACTACCAATAAAAACCAATTCAAGCACAAGTCAACGTGCCTGTTCTCATCCTGCTGTGGAGCACACGGTGGACGTCGTCGGCAATGACTGTCGAACCGTCGCTATGTAACCCCCAGAATACCTGGAGTACTTTATTAAAACGAAGGACGCTAAAGAAACATAAGTCGAGTTGCAATCTGGCAAAATGTCACCAGCAACGACTTACCAGAAATTTCCGATAGGCATTCAGTATAGTTGCAGGACCAAAAACGATTGCAGGATTTAAACTACAGGGATATTCTGGGCCCTAAAATGAGGAAGATTTTAACATACCAAGTTCTGCTTGAGTAGCCAAACTTTAAAATGTCGCTAAGAAGACTTTCCATTTTCCCTAAAGTTGTAATTTACAAAGGAGGAAAAGAGCTAAGTGGTTTTCGTTTCTCATTTTTGCGTATGCATTCTTAATTTTTTTTAGAAGTACACTAGTCAGAGCCAAAAAAGGCAGGATGCGGGTAGTGCTTTGCGCAGAATCGTCTAACCGTTTTTTTACTTTTATCAACGTTTCAGCGAAAGAATAACCGTTGTGCCCATCTCAAGTTGATGCACTTTTACGGTTCTGGCAAAGTTAGGAATTAGGTCGGCCATAGCGTTTTGCTCGTAAGGTGTGCACATTTCGCCGGCTAAAACTAAAACGCACTTTGGTCAACCCAACAGTTTTTGCAAACACAGCACCACGTGATGATACACGCGCCTTTCAGTGAGAACTCTTCACCAAGACACGCGGACGGCCATGAGAACGTCCTCCAACAAAACTCTGCCCTTCGCAGGTATTTAAGTGAAGTAGTGGGGGGATTACGGACGTGTAGAAGGTCACGTGACAGCGTTGTTTACGGACTTATCCTCATTGCGGAGCGGAAACTAATATGCCGGCGAGTATGACAGCTCGGAAGCAACTACATAATAGCCCTTATGTTTTGTCGTTGATAGGTGTCTTATGGGAAGTGTCCATGGTGCGGCCTCGATCAATTCATGGTAGTCCGTAAACTATAAGCTGCCCACTGTTTTGATGGGGATTTCATGCACATTGGATCATAGAGAGGTAGACGTACACAACATCCGCCTCACACCACCTTCCCGCATCCACCGTGCTCCGTTGCTGAGACGAAAGCGAGACAGCCGGTCATAGGTGCGATCGTAGTGACTGTCGTCTGGCTTCACAACGGGACAAGCTGTAGATGCGCTGAAGGGGACACGACACGCGTTACTCGGATTGGGCAGAGTCCGAGCATCCCATGACGAATTTCACACACGTGAGCGAGGGTGGTGGTGGCACACGTAGGCGCAGGCTTCACATCGTGCCAGCCATTTGCACCCAATCAGATGGCTGACAGGCTTGAACAGAGGACTGGCGCACGGGAAGAGGGTGGAGAGAGGCTGAGGTCGACGCTGGGCAATCCGTCCCCACGGTACATCAGTGCATCCCTCGCTACGACAAATTTTACCCGCTAAAAGTCGGTGTGGCGGCAAGGACGCCCCCATTCAGGGGACGGAAAGCAGATCATCGTGGCATGTTGTACCCTCGCCTTTTATCTAACTGATGCTTTCGCACTCTCGTAACTAGGTGGAATGTAATCTACTTCTTTTGTGAAAACAAGCCGGAAGAACTGCCAAAAGTACTCAAATTTTGCTTGTACTGTCAGATATCTAGACACCCCCACCATTCCTCGGATTTCGGGTTTATGGTACGTGGGCGCCTTATTCAGTGGCTACAGAGAATTTCGGTGCGAGGACGTAATATGATCCCTCAGCATCTACTGGAATGTTTACCTGCTATTGAGCTCTCCCTTCCGTCGTCTAGCTCCACCCATTAAACCCCTATTACGCGATGACCTACTTTTGCTCCCGGAATGGGGTCGCATACTGCGTTCGTGTCGTCATGGCTTCGAAACTTGCCAGCTAATACAGTCACTCGGTCCTCATGCCCCGGTGGAACCAGCCAATGACCGACGTGGCGGAATCCACAGCTACGTGCCCTGGTCTCTACAGGCATGCTGTTCAAATTACATTAGAAGGAGCTCGAATCTGTAATTGGCGGGGGCTGCAATAAAAGCCGCATTAAGAAGCAACGACTGAGGTCTGACCCTCACTCCGGAGGATGATGGAGTTGCCCTGTCAGTTAGCAACTGTGACAGTCAGGATGTGGTGGTAGTTTAGGTCGCGTCCACTCTATTTTAGTGACAACACTATGTAGGCGATGGATACATCCTGAACCGGTCGTCCGTCCCTATCCTGTACCAATAACAAGTCAGAGTCTGGTTGTCTAGAAATGAGATTGGTCACAGTATCTGTTGTCACGAAAAGACTCACACATAGGCGTGCTGATTCTTACACGCACCAGACCCGAATATTCCAGGAGTGAGAGGCGGTATAAAGATCGAACTAGGTCTGTATCGTGACCGGAAGTGGCTTAACAAAGACAGGGAGACCATAATGCCACCTGTTTCAGGCATATTAATGCACTTATGCTGGTTCACTCCCCGATGAACCAGTAGCCTGCCCTATCTTTTACACTGACGGGATTGGACGCTGAGGCTGACCCAACGTTAAGTCTTGCTGTCTACGTTCGCCACATGCCCACCCGCTGCGCAGACGGTCATCATATGGGATTTAATTGCCGACCCTTGACCTGAATTTCCATCAATGACTCCCCGTCAGTCGGTATTCTTCAGGATGGATCGGTTATTTGTTCAGACAGAAGTAAGCACACCTCCATCTGCCTGTGTGTCGAACGGGTGCTCATATGTATCTCAAGTCGATGTTGATTTGTTCAAACGTATCCTCTGCGCCTTCTTTAGCTTCACTGGTGGTAGATATGCCTTTGCAAAGGTAGGTCACATGTTAACAATAATTCTTCGTATACGCTTGTTACACACTGGAAATGCATATCTCAACTAAACTCTCTTCCCCCTCAGCCATAGATAAGACTGAGGGCTGCCCACCCGGCAGCAAATTATGGTAATATGATTATTTCTGCTTGTATTACCAGGGGTTGACTTCTACCGTCCACTTCGCTAAAGGATCTTATAGTGTCACTTTCCTAGTGCTAGGATAGATACCTTAGAAAACTCATTAGGGAAAATATCGTCTTAGTTTTGTGGTAAATGCTCCAGATTGTTAGGTTGTGTGGAGGACTTATAGATTTCAAATCTTCGAAAATCTCCATAAACTGGGATTTACTGCAAGGCAAATATATGCCCTTTCTCATTCAGAACGCAAGGAAGTACGGGTCGGAGGTCTCAACCAATCTACTCTATGGGACGGAGACAGGAACGGTTCACGCCAATCGAATCAGGAAGCTGAAACACTTCCACCTCACCTGCTTTCGGCGGTTGCAAGACAGGACTACCGATACTGGAGTCCTAAAACGAGCTGGAATCCTCAGTATCGACGCCATGTTGAGGCAAATGCATCTGGGGCCGCATCGCGAGGATGGATTACGAGTGCCTTACCAAGCGACTATTCGATGACGACGTTGAAACGCGTGCTCGCCGACAAAAGACAAAAACATGCTAAAAAGTCCCTCTAAGGACCTCCCTCAAGGATGCACAAAGCAATCCGCAGACCTGGGGGGCCTTACCCAGGATCGACCTGTCTAAAGAGCAGTAGTGAAGACCGGAGCAGTAATCTACGAAGAAAAACTGAATTGTCAATACCAAAGTCAAATAAACGACTTGCAAGTCTCAGAAGCTGCGGATGCCCAATCTCAAAGCCCTATCCATTCCATCGTGTCCATGTTGTCAAAAGACACTCTTCGCACGTGTTTGCCATATCGGACATCTCTGGACCTAATGCAATGAAAACACGACAACTCCACCTACTGTTCCCGAGAACGCCTCCACAGTCACCCCCCTACTTCAACCCCCACGGCGACGAACACAGGTGAAAAAACTGCCGATTTCCCACTTCCACCACCACCGTCATCACCACCCCCTGTGCCAGCAGTGCTGTCGCACTCCCAGACCACGCATCGGCCTGATCGGTCACTTGCGAATCCATCGTATTGACAAGCCAGTGTCCGGAGCACCAACATACGTCCGTCTCACTCGCCTCAACTGTCCACATTGCCCACGGACATTCAGTTACCACATTGGTCTAGTGGGCCACCTGCGCCTTCATAAAAAGTTGCGGAAAAACATCGCAGTCCAAATGTCGTCATACCGTCCCGCCCTCCCCAGCCCGTACATAACCCACCCCACAACACCTGACACTTGGACGGAACACGTAGCTCTCACGTTAGAGAGAAGCATGTTCCTTAGTGCATCGTGGCACTTGGCAATATCGTGTGTTATGCAGGTAGACGGGCTGCTGCAGTCATGTGTGAGCCTCTACATCCGCTCCTAGCACCAGAAAACTGACAGTCTCTGTATTTTTTGCCCTTGTGGCTGGACCCATGACCAGCCACAGGTAAAGGGGAGTCGGCGTGGTTGTGCTTTGGATAGTGCCGCGGTCGCTCGATCTAACCAGGGTATTATCCTTAATCACGAATATATGAATAGACTATCTTCCCGATAGTACTTGACAACGAGAATTACTTAACCAGTTTGTATCTGTTCATATTGTTTCGGCACTCAGTTAAAATCGAAATTGATTGGAAAAATTTTAGCTGGTTATAGTCTTTTGTGTGAGGCGATGTCATTCTGAAATTTAGCACGAGAAAAAAGCAAATATTAAAGTTTGAAAAATCTCAAACTCAAGTCCTCCCAGAAGTTCTCTCCATGATACGCAGACTTATTCATTCCACTTGCGACCCCGACCAGCTCTTCTACATGCATTTCGATAAGTGGTGGGTGTTCCTCATTGGTAGAATTATGACAGGTCGAATATTATTTCGATTAACCTGGCTGGCGGAAAGTTTATAAATCTACCGACTCGATGAACACTCAGGTCGCTTCTCTAGTTTATAGTCTTTAATGAACATTTAAAGGAAAAAAGAAATCTGTACCATCAAATGTTAATTTTCAAGAGGAAACCAATATTAAGAAAATGACTAGCAGGGAACAGATCTCCTTTAGTTTTAACCAGAAGTATATATGAGGAAGTATTGATAGAAGAAGCATATCCTTCTTAGAAAGTAGATTTTGTGAAAATCGAAACAAAGCGATAACCAGAGAGTCAGAGTCCATTAAGTAGCTGAAGCTTCTATTCCATGCATAGCGGTCTCAGAAACGCACTTAATTTTTTTTAATCTAGAAAGATGTTCAAGAAATTTGGTTAGTTTTTCCCATGAGTTTTAGTGCGTACTGCACAGGCCTTCGGACATAGAAGCGGTTGCTAACTCAGAGTTATTTCATACTTTGTCTGACTTCCGGCTATTGTAGGTGCAGGCACTCCACAAGACGCAGGCCGAGAAGTATAGAATTCAAAATCATTAAAACGCTGGTCAGTTAGTAACAGCATGGTCAAACTCATCGTTTGTAATAAAGGAACACACAAAAGTACACAACTTACGACTACATTCAAAGGTCATGATAGAATTTCCCTCCTAAATATTATTCAAGTAATAGCGTTAAAAGTTCGACTACGTTAATTTTAATACGAATGCTCTCCTTATCAAATTGCCTTGACCGGAGAAAAGCTACCCCCATAAGCATATAAAATTTAAATTCGATGGTACGCGTTACACTTGTGTTTACCGTTTAGGGTAAGGACTGATAATCTCACTAGATGGCTTGGAGCAAATAAACCTTAAGCTAAAGCATTTTCAACCGGCCTCATTTCTGTGACATCGACACAAGATACTTCTCCAGTTTCCTTATATGGGAGTCGCCAGAAGTTGAAAATGGCATATTCGGATATGGAAATCTTTGATACCACCTGATACAAGGAACTAGGAGATAGAGTTTGCAAACTTATAATCACACTTCACTCTTACTGCTATTGCGGCTTCATATTTTCTGTGCATTTTTTACACTGTAAAAAAATTACCAATGCAGTCCCCAGCAACATCGACATCAGCCCAATTGACAAGCTCTTTTGGTTACCATCAGCAGTCCAGGGCCCAGATCGTTTCGCATCCCCTCCTGAGACGACGTTGAGGAGGAACACCGTACTTGCTGACAGCTCACTCATAATTTGTGTTTTGTCTGCTTTACCGAATTCAACGGACTGATTTCCAAGGTGGTGACTCGGGGTGGTTTCATTCATAGCGAAGGCTAAATAGGTTCCCGCGCAGGCACCGGCCATTTGACTCGACCAGTACAAGGGCAGGTAAATTGGGGGCAGTGTCTGGCAGAGGATCAAGGTCAGCGTTACTGCCGGGTTAACATGACCGCCGCTGACTGGCCCCGAAAGCCAAGTGCCCATGGTGAGAGCCAGAGGACCAACCAGGAGGGCTGGCAGCTCTTCGGTGAGGGTGGCATCTGATTTAGTTCTAACACAGACAAAAGCAAGGAGGCCTGTTCCGAGGATCTCGGCCAAGCAGACTCGAAGCATCCTCCATGCGCGGGTTACAGTCGACTGGGTTTCGCCCTTACTTTCAGGGTCTATTTTGTCCGCTACAGCATCTGTTTGTGTGTCAGCATCCTTTTTTTGAGGAAACGCGACTCTTTGAAGTGGTGGCGGCGGTGGCGGCCTTGAGAATACAAGCATTAGGTCCTGAAGTATAAATTTTCCGGACTTGTGCTAGAAGTCGGATGTGATGCTCGCACTCGTGAGCTAAAATGCGCGCCCATGCAGGTCCTGTGAGAAGAGCAATTCAATTGGCTCATGTGAGCCAATGAAAGTGAAAATTTCGTGACCGGGCCCATTAGCACACAAGCGTCTCGTACCCTTTGCTGACAGCAGACAATACGTAAGTCTGAAATCCCACAATGTGAGAATTAGCAAAATGTGGACTCTGAAGAGAATGGGATTTATGGACGCGAAAAACCCTCACTGGGATCTCTCAGTTGAATAGGCGGATCCAAGTAATCCAAACGACCAATTCGAAAACCAGCAAGGTCGCAATGAAAACGTAAAAACTAATTAATTGGTAAGACATAAAAAGGGGGGAGAATTAAGTGAAGCGAGAGGAGAAAATGGAGGCGATGTAAAGGACTATCAATCATTATGGCAAGGCCAGCATAAAGGCATAAGCCAGTATTGTTGACGGAATCAAGTACTGCCCTGGAAAAAAGTTATCCGTCTTTTTTAAAAGTCAAATCCGACTCTTTAACTACAGTCTGGCTGCAACATGACTCAGTTTACGATGTGTTCAAGTGAGAGATGGGACTCTTAGGGCGTGGAGTATGGTTCAGACGAATGAGAACTAACCACTTATACTGTTTTATCCAGTGACTGAATCGTAGATGACGATCCCATGCCGGATGATGATATGTACAGTAGGTGGACTAACTGATGAAATGTCAACCGAAATTCCGAAATGCGTTCTCGTTTCGAAAAGATTCATTAAGAAGGGTTGTAAAATTAGTTAGCCTGTAACAAAATTCTCTAATAATTATGGTACCTCAGGATTTCGCCTCTCGAATGAACTTTCTTCCGGCTGCATGCAAAAACTACACTCTGTAAAAATGATTACTTATTTATCATGCATTTTTCTCACTGATTTTCGATATCTCTAAATGTCCAGTGATATTTCATGGAAAACATGAACAAAAACATTCATTCTCTCATCCATTCGGTAGAAAATTACGTTTTCTTTCAATTTTATTCTGAAAGGAAAGTATAATTCGGTTTTAAAAAGTTTTTAATTGTAAGGCTTTTAAATACTCTGAAGTGGTCATTCATAAAACGTTATGTCTCCGCATTTGCCAATTTGGCTTGTAATTTTAATAATATGGATCAAATCCAATGCCAAATTTTATGAACCCTATATGATCTCCTCTTAATACCGTACAGAAATGTGTGGTTTTCCGTACGCGGAAAATATACGGCTTGTAGTTTGGAATCCCTGGATGCAAGTGTAACGGTAGAGTGGATTCAAAATTATTCGGGAATTGGAAAAGTTTTAAAACCGAATCATGCCCTTCCTTCGAGTATAAGATTCGAAGAAGACGCAATTGTCTACTGAATGAGCAAAAGGATGAATATTTTTATGCATGTTTTCCATCAAATATAATTGGACATTTAGAGGCATCAAAAATAAGCGAGAAAAATGCATGGTAGACAAGTAGTCATTTTTTACATAGTGCAGTTTTTGCATGCAGCCGGAAGGAAGTTCATTCGAAAGCCGGTGTCCTGAGGTAACAGAAATATTAGAGAATTATTCTGCAGGCTGACTAGTTCTACAACCCTACTTAATGAATCTTTTCGAAAGGCACTTAATATCTTTTCTGGATCTTGAACTAGTCTAGCGACAGTCAAGCACCTCAAACTGAATTTTAGTTTTAACTGCTCTCCCGAGCAAGACTTAGCACTACCAGAACACGCCGTGATCTCACCGACAGCTAGGGCGGTCTGAGACAGAAGCATAGGATTCGATATAGAATAAGTCATTCACTCTAGTTTCATCGATTTTCCCTTGTTAACCGGAAGTTCACCTCTACAAACTCACATTCAGCCTCTCCCACGGACAATCCCGTATGGCAGGTTTCCCCTTCATTGGCTCAGCAGAAAGCTTGCTCAAATGAAAAAACGGCCAGGAGGACATTGAATTAGCATCTATTATTTCACATATCTGGCAGACGTGATAGCGACTGCTCAGAGACCCAAATTCGGGAAAAGTCTGTTAGATACCGCCTGACAACAAACGTTTCGGTTGCGCAGAGTGTATGCACCTCACGCGTACGGTAAACTTCGGCCTGCGCTACGAGGAAACATCAGGAATGTCGGCTAGGTAGACGCAGCTCCGGTTGCAACAGTCGGCCAGACAGTCGTAGTCGTCCGCGCACAAGGTCATGCAGTCAACGCCCGCACATTCACTCGCAGTCCTCTGGGTCTTCCTGCTCAACGAACGCATGTCTGTACTTTAGTCGTCTCGACAGATGTCTGTTCATTTGCTGGGTCGCTAATCCTGGTACCATGTAGTCACCACAGGGGGTCGATAAGACAGGGGCTTTTATAATCAAAACCATGAACGAAGCCAATGATCAGGGCTTTTCCAAGTAATGGTAATCGGCTAGCCGATGGGGGTGGATGCGGATAAAAGCAGGCAGACTGTACTGGTAGGCTCGACTGTCGCGAAGGATGATGTCTACGGCAAGGTGGGTGCAAGACGGTGACTGGCGTGTGAATTAGTTTGTAGTGATAACAGACTTGTGCAAATCTGCCGCTACCTCTCCTCCCTCACCCACTTGGGCGCCGTGGCGAAACTAAGTCCGATGACCGAAGGTGGGGTCAGGCACATGAGCTGACGAATTTAAACAGCCCGTCTACACGCGCCACACACGGTCTCGTCCCCGCATGATATATCAGGTCTTCACACAGGGGACCGGAAATGGACGATAATATGGAAGACGGGAAAGACAATAAGCTGTGAACCGGAGACGGCCAAATTTAGCGGGTTTGATTGTTGATGGGTAAAACACGCACCTTCCGATCGCACGTATTAAAAAATTGACATGTGGCAGAATCAACATTCAACTAGTTGCCCATGCAGATGAAAAAGCGAGTTTCTGGAAGCAATCTGGAAGAAGAAAGTGCGATCTGTAGAACTATAATCTTTTTTGCCCCGACGTTTCGGGTTCTTAATCTCAGTTACGAGCAGAGGCGGCCTCAGATAGCGCTGGTGGGACGTACATATACGGATGATTTAATTCTTGTTTCATTTGCTACTAACAGTTTGTTAGTAACCAGGCTGTAGTCGGATTACATCTTTGTATTTGAATTCTACTATTCGATCCCCATCGTTTTTTTCATTGCTCCTCTTAAATCGACCACTACGTGTTGGTGTGATTCGCGTAACAACAGGTCTAGTCGCCTTGAATGTATTTTCAGTTTTAATTTTTTTCTCACCCTTTAACTCTGTCGTGACCCATCAGTCTTACTGTTTACATCTATGGAAGCGCAAAGAATATCCGAGTTATTCCGCGCGAAACATTGCCCAAGCCTGAAGGTGATGAACTCAGGAAACTGAAGGCCAACAAAGACCTCGATGCCGTATAAGTGGAGAAGGGACGTTCCGCTGTCGTATTGGACAGGGCAGACTACCTTCAGATAGCCAAAGACTTGTTGAAGGATTGTCGGTTCTATGACCCATGTGAAACAAAGTCCGTAACAATGCTGACACGCAAAATAGATGCGGCATTGTTGGTAATGGATAACTAGGGTGCGATATTGCCGATCAACCAACGCATGGTCAGGGCCGAGAAAACGACCTTGGCCTGATTTCATGAGCCTCCAAAAGTGCATAGAGGACGCTCCGCCCGGCCCATTGTGTCAGTAATTGTGTCCCAACTTATGGGCTGCCTAGGTTCCTGGTTCCAAGAGTCAGATTTCTGACTGTAGGTTATGGTATCTTTTGATGTCATGTCCCTCCCTACTTCTTTTCTCCTATATTTGACAGCCGAGACCATCCAACTAACCCTGAAACGCACCTACGACGAAACGGAGAATCGATTCGGACGTGCTCAAATCCTCCCAATCTTAAAGTTCTGTCTCAAGACCTCACTTTGAAAGGAATAATCTACGAGCAGGTAAAGGCAGGCCGGCGGGTTCGCCGAATTTGAGACTCATAACTGAGGCTGTCCCGGAACGGCTGGAGTCACTTGTCTTCCGACATTAAAGGTCGAAATTCTAGGCTGGGTACGTGGAAGATAACTTAGTCGTCATCGAATGGGATCAGGTGCTAACATTCAGATAACGTCTCAGTGCCGTCTTCTAGGGCATATAATTCACGTTGGAGAAGGAAGAAAACAGCCAGTCGGCCTTCCTTGGTGCCCTCGTCCTAAGAAAAGCTAGTGCTCAGGAAACTGACAAACACGACGTGAGTACTGAGCTTCAACAGCAATCACCGAATTTCGTTTCGCAAGGACACTATCAGCGTATTGAAGCTCAACGCGGTGAACTGGAAGACACAATTGACGAATTACAAGAACATCGACGTGTGTCGAGAAGGAATGACTACCATGCTGCAACAGTCCCAAATTTTGACAAGCGCTTCCATATACCAAGAACATCTTGGAATCCTTCGACTGATGTCGCACGTAATTTGTGTGTTAGGTTGTAGGCATATTGGGGCAACCATCGGGAGCCAGATGTAGAGGACGAAAGTCCAGCTGTCTTGACAGGAAACGTCTGGAGTCGTTTATCTCGTTTAGTGTACTTGTGGGCTATGCAACGTCGGAGAAACTGTGATCAGTCTGGAAGCGGAAAGTCAAACACGCATCAACCGTGCGACGAACCGACTTGAGCCTTCGAAGTGCGGTTCACTCGTCGGGACCAGCCCACGCGCTCAGGTTCAATAAGGCCAAAATTCCCGCTCGATTTGCGGATCTCGTCAGCTGCAAGCTGATTGAGCCATTTTTTTCCGGCTCGCACTCGATCAGTAGGCGCAATGAGCTTGCAGCTGCCCGCTTACGCATTTCACCTTCCGCCCGCCCGACACATGTGACAGCCTCCGGCTTATCAGGCCGATCGATGTTTCTCTCTCTCTCTTTACAGAACTCACTCGTTGGGCTCGAGAGAGGACCCATAGGGCACAACGGGACGAG